TTTTTTTTTTTTTTTTTTTTGAGAACATACTTTAAAAGTGGGTTGAAGGAGTATTTATTAGTTTAATTTTTTTGTTAAAAATAAAAGCAAATGGTTTCAGATAATCTATTTGTTTTTATATTTTTTACTTTTGGATTCTTAATAAAAAAAAATGATGAATCGGGACTTTTTGGTTATTTATGCTATAGAAATTTGATAGATCGTGTAGCTAAGGCTGACTGATAATCTTTTTTTATTTTATTTTTTTTAATGCATACTTCCTCACCATTTCTATACTATACAAATGCATCTAAATGCTTAGCCAAATTTAAAAAAAAAAGTTTTTGAAATTTGGCATTGCTTTTAATTATTTTTGAAATATAGATATCAATGTGAAGGAACATGTGTGTAATTAGTGTTTATATGCTATCATTTAAAAAAATAAATAAGGATTCAATTTGATAATTATTTTTTGGTGTTTAAAAAATAAGACTAACCATTCCCATTAATTGGTTACCTATATTTTCAAGATTAGAATATTAGTTTTAAAAAACCTTTTAGAAAGATATCCAAAAAATAAACAACTTTTTAAACTAAATACCAAAATCTTATTTAATAACTATTTAATTTTTTTAAAATTAAATTATAAATACTTCGATTTTCTAGTTGTCTTTACTTTTTAAGCCTACTTTTGTCTTTACTTTTTAAGTTTCTAGTTTGGTTTTTAAGCTCGTTTTTAAAAACCAAATCCAGCTTTGAAAGTTTATTTTGATTTTAAAATTTAATTAAGAACTCAATTTTTCCCTTAGTTACCCCTGATAAATTGGGAATAAATAAACTTAAGTTTTAAAAATCAAAACAAAAAACTAAAATCTAAATGATTTTCAAATGTGGCCAAATGGTTTAATAAAGGGTTTTATTATGGAAGTCATGAAAATAAACACAAATTTTTTTATTTAAAAAAACATACGGCAGTCAATAAAAGCTTTTAACATGTTCTCTTTCTAGCTTCTCTTTAACAAACGTCCCTTTTCTATGTCACTTTGTCCTAAAATTTTAAACGTATCTACCACCCCAATGTTTCTCTCCGTGACCTGTATCCCATAATTTTTCTTTCCCGCGATCTTCAAGAAGAAAATGATATCATACTTATTTTGCTTCAAAATTTTAAAAACACAAAAATCTAAAGGATTTTGACAAACATGTCTAATTTTTGCTTATGAAAATAAAACAATAAATAGATTAAAAAACATTATCAAAGACAATACCTCTCCTTTTTAATTATAAAATGATTTACCCTGCTGCTTTCAAACATGGATTGGTCATATAAGATGGTGAGCCACCCTACTAATATGATGTGGACCAATTTGGACTCCGACCGTTTGTTTCCAAAAACTGAGGCAGCCGGTGGCCGTCCCTTTATTAGTAACTATCACATACAAATAACTATAATAAAAGAGAGGAAAGAAATTAACGAAATCTTTTATCAAAAAGATAAATTAAAGAAATCAATCCACAAAAAAAGTATAGGTACCAGGTTGATTAAACCCTCGTTGTCTAAACCACGTTCCGGTAGAGAGACAGTGGTAGAGACAGTAGACAAAAAAGAATGACGTAAATCAGAAATCTGCAAACCTTGATCTTCAAAAAGATTTATAAGGATCATCACCTGATTCCATGGAACGCTGGCAAGACAGCAATCAGGGGGTCGCCATAGCCAACAGCTTCTGCAAACCATTAATAAAATTAGTAGGACCTCTCAGTAAACTTCAGGTTGAACTAGTTAAAGACTTCTGAGGAACGCCATAAATATAGTAAGATTTTGCACTTCCACATTTTCTAAAGATAAGAGTATCAAACCAACTGATTTTCAATTTTGAGACATCTTGTAACACTTTCTTAATAGTCTGAATAGACAGAATATCGTACGTACCTCCTTCCTTGAAGAGAACCCTCAATACTTCTCCATCCACATTTGACTGCTCAACAATGAATTGAGGATAAAAATTAGCATTACCATCAAAGGATGTTATGGAGGTCTCGCACAAAAATATTACATTGAAAGGTTCATATGTACCTTTACAGGAAGTTCGGTGCCAAACTGATCGACGTATCCAATTACTTGTCCTTCCTTTATTACATCTTTCTGTGCATGAAAGAAGCCGCCAATTCATAAACTAATGTGGTTTGCTAAAATTTGACACAAATGTAAAACTAAAATCGGAAAATAAGGTTCTGAAAAGTCGTAAACATGTTAGGATGACTGAGGTTAGTTAGATCATTAATGGGCCTGGTAGTCCATAGTTTAATGGGCCGGGTTGTGTTCCAGTTAATCTAAAGAACTGAACAAGCAGGTAAATAAAATAAAAAAATAAAAAAAACTTTCTTATTATTCGATCCGGATTATCCAAGGTTTTCCAATTAAAGTCACGAGATCCTCTTCCCGTAATTCAACAGTTTGAAAGTTAAAATGTCATTGAAGATAAGCAGGCTTGAAAGCAATACCTCTTTGCAGATCGGAGGCTGCTTTTTTCCTTTTATTGTCCTGCCCGTTAGGAATGATCCAACCTAATGAAAAAAGCAAGAGCCAAGTTATAATTACTAGGATTTCTCAGATTTTGCAGTTCTTTCTTTTTAGATTACACAGAACCTTACACATTAATGCATCACATACCGTAGGAGAAGAAACCAGAACATATCCTTTTGTTCCAGATGCCTCCAAAGCTGCTAGCTTCAACGACTTCTCCATGGGAACATTGGTAAAAGGAGTTGTTTTCTCTGGAGAAGGTTTCAGAGGTTCTGGTGCAGTAGCAGCTGACTCAACCATGGGTTCAGAAGGAATCGGCGGAGGTACTGTTGGAGAAATGGCAGACAGAGGAGCTTTTACGACTCCAAGATTCCGCTTCAAATGCATTTCAAACTCTCCAACCTGTAGTAGATAGCAGAAGGTTAGTCAATACATGTATAAATTGACTCACCTACAACTTTATGTCCCTGAAACTTAGTCCAAGGCTAAGCAAAGTGATTCAAACAACCGCAAAATCAAGAATTTTTTCGTTGGTTGAACAACCATGTGATGTATATCAATATAATATATAAGAGTCTCTCGTACAGTGTTCCTTTCATTCTCATGAAAATCATGATATTACGTGAAGAATAATCTGAAAAAACTATTCACGTGGCTGTTCAAATAAAAAAGAAACATTGTACAAAATTGGAGTTTCAATACACCTTTAGTTTTAGTTCAGCAATCTCGGTTTCATCACAGACCTCCAGCACCAATGCCTGGTGATTTCAAAGAGTAGATAAGTTAGTTAAATTCACAAGGATAGAATGAAATATCCAAAGAAAACATTACAATTAATCAACTTTCATTTGAACCCAAAAAAAACAAACAAACAAAGAACTTCATGGGAGTGTTGGTGAAACTTGACAACCCCAAGTCACTAAAGTGTATAAAAGAAAGAAAGAAAGAAAGAAAGGAAAGAAGGCCCAAGTGACGAAAATATTTGAGTAAGAAAATTTACGCGTGAAACTGAGGATTTACATTTCATTTTAAAAAGATAAACACTTTTTTTTTTCTTGTTGGTTGAGATTAATCAGGACCTGAGGCAAAAATATGAATACAAGTGATGTAAATATTTCGAAGTGTGAAGAAAATTATTCCCGTCATAGTAAGAAAAAATAGCTTCAAGTGATGGTGCATCAATCTTGATGAAGAGAGGAGACAGACTTCAATGAAAAATTGGCTGGTGCAGATATTTTGGAGGAAGAGATGCCGGCACCTTGGAAATTCTGGATATGAAGTCGACAGAGGTAGATTTATCTTTGAGTTCTCCTTTGTTGGACTAGATTCTCCAAAAACAATGAAGACAAGGGGTTTCTCGATCTAACTGGATACTACCGAAAGTTTGTGGCCAACCATAGTACTGTCGCATTTAACAACAGTTGTTGAAAAATATTTTTGGCTGGAATGAGGAGCACAACGGGCTTTTGAAACATTGAATTAGGCCATGGTGAATGTTCCGGTGTTAGGCCTTCTAGATTTTACACAGCCTACGGTTGTCCTTTGCAAAGCACTGACAAATACACTCACAAGTAAAAGAAGAAAACATTTCTCTGAAACATTGGGAATAATTCCAAGGCCCATTATGTTTCAGCAGGTGGCTATGCACTCTAATTCTGTACCATATTGCAAGGTCTATAATATGCGTATATAAACCATGAAGGAGAAGCTCATAACATGTGAATTTCAGTAACTTTCACGA